AAAGATACCGAATTTTTCGTAGCATTAGAGAATTATTGGAGTGTAAAAATTAAGAAACAAAAATGGAGTAACCTGTAAAAAAAGAAAGTGATGTTTCACCAAGATAGTGTTCTATATCATGAAACCTTTACTAAGTTAATTAAGTTACACTTTGAATTGCTTTCACACTCGTAATCTATTTATTTGGCCCAAAGCAACTACTGACTTTTTACAGACGTTAAGACAATATTTCATGGAAGTGAAGTATTGTATATGTACATATGTATATATTTTAGCTTATTACTTTTATTTAAAAATTAAAATAATAATAGTTATTAATTAACACTTAATTAATTCATACATTTTTCTTATTTAAAATTTCAGTCTATTAAAAATAAACTATTGTATTTAAGAGTTTACTATAATATATCTGAATTTCTCTATTTATGTGCAAACCTTCAGTTACCTACTAACTGAAGCATTGGCACTATCATATAATAAAAATATGTATTTATATATTATTATATATTATAAAAATAATTTAATTATTTTTGTAATATTATTACAATAATTTACGTCCCATTTTGCTATCATCATCTACAGTTAAACCAAAATGATCTGTAGTAGGTTACACACAGTAAAATTTTTGTTAGAAAAATGGTTAAATTCTTTATATATGGTATATACATTGAAAACGGTTGAAAGCAAATATAATTCTCATGGACTTATTCATTGTTCAAATTTATAATGAAATAGAAAAGTGCATAGTTAGACTTTGGTTTTATCTATGTCGTTGAGTAAGTCTTTCATCTTTTACTGAAAGTTTCCGCAGGAGGGCCAAAGTTCATAGTCTATATCCGAGGCTAATAATTTTTTGAAGTGCTTGATCGTATGATTGGGCCAAAATTAATTTATTCAAAACTAATAAAAGTAGATATGTAGAACTTTGGTGTGTGGTTTTCACTTCGAAGCTTCCAAAATTTTTTTGGACCTTTTTATTTTTTCGTTCTGTGTTTTTCATAGTGTTATAAATGAACAAAATATAAAATAGTGCAAACTTGCATTTATAAAAAAAATTATTTGGAAATATCCACAATAAAGTTGGGTCGTCAAACATGTACCATTTTTTGAACATGAGTACCAAACGAAAAAAAAAGTACCAATTTTGGTACTAAAGTACCATAAGTGGCAACCGTGGTTATAGCTATTTATTCTTATTTTGAGTTTTACGATTATGTAAATCGAGACTATAAACACACTTTACAGTTAAAGGAATATTACTAACAATTGTCGCTAACACATTCACAGTGACCAATTACAGAAAATTGTATAATGCATAGATATTTCTAACCTACATATTGCAAAATAACAAGAATGAGTCATTACTTTCACCAAAATTCCACTACGCACGGCTTCAACGTTAAGTTAGTTTTCTTAATCCTTGGTTGTACTCAAAGAAGACCAAAAGAACAATATTATAAACCTATTAAGATTTATATATGATGAATAAAATTATTAACATGTTAGAAACAACTAGATATGATCAGATAGATGTAATCAACAATACATTCGGTTTCGAATATTAAAAACCGAATACAATTTATTAAAAATAAAATAGTGACTTATAAAATGTATTTATTTATATATAATAAATACAAACAACAACAATACATATATACAATCGTAGAGAGAAGAGTAAAATCAGTTAACTTCGAGTTTGTTTGTACTTTCAATTTGCTTCAAAGGTGGTTGAATGTGAAGTTAGGAGAAAATATAATTCCCATCGACTTTCTAGTTGCGTTTGTTTAAAATTGCCGTAAAAAGTCTTCGTAGTTACTCTGGTTTCTCTTCAGTTGTCGAATAAATCTTTCGCCTTTTACTAAAGATTTCCGTGGAGAGGAGCAATTTAATGAGTCTAAATAAAATTTTTTGTTGTGCCTAACCGAAAGGTGGGGCCATAATAAATACATTCAATGTTTATTTAGTAAAACCAAATTGTTAGCTGTTGTATCTGGATGTTAAATGAAAAATTGAAATCAATAAGCAACGATCACTTAATGCTTTACAAAGTTCTGTCGCCAACTAAGCTCTTTGTTAGAATATACCTGTGCAGTATAAAAATATTGTTAAGTAATACTATGCTTATATTAGTATAAAAAACAATTTTTAGGTGTATAATTAGATAAGTTAAACCTGGATTTGGTTTAAATAAAAAAAAGAGAATTAGGTTTAATAAACCACAACTTGTTTGTTTCAGTTCAGATCCAAAATTATTTAATCCGGATTAATTAAAAAGGTAAAACGATGTCGTATGAATAAGAATAATACTGATTTTTTCGTATTATGCCAACATATATCACTCTTCTGCATATTATAAAAGTGTTACTGGATACACACTTGCACCAAATAATCTATAGTACTCTAAATAAACCAAATTTTGGATTAATATTTAATATACCTGTAGAGTACTCTAGATTCTTTGCTTGCACTTTATGGGAATATGCCTTGAATGCATTTTACTGATATATATTGTAAAATTGAATTTCAATCATGTTCGCTTTGTAAGAAGCGAAGTCTCATATTGTGTTTTACTAACATACTAAAAGACGTTTTTGCTTAAATATGTTTTCTCTAGAATATCCATACAATAAGTTCCGACTATATGTTTTTATTCAACAATTAAATTACAGTTATTTTTAGCCTCATAGCACTTGTACTGTACTTATAGCTTCAATGCAAATAAACCAAATTTTGGATTAATATTTAATATAGCTGTAGTATTCAACTTAATTACTGTTTATTAATTTATTTTGAGATATTGACAATATTATATATATGAATGCGTAATCCTCATGACACTCTACTACAGTCCCTACTCCCTAGTCTCGAAATACGATAGCAAGTTTTCCCACTTTTGTAATTATATTTTTAAAAGATACAGTATTTCGTTATACCTTAGAACATATTTCAGTTTATCTCAGTATCATCTTGGTTTAACTTCACTTATTCTGTAAAAATCATTGACGCTTAAAGAGGAGTATATTTATGTACTATATAAAGAATTAGTTGAATCTAGTGTGTTCAAGCATTTCATCATTAGAACAATTCGAATAAACTCAAGTTAAACATTTAGAACGTAGACTTTATATCAATAAACATTCACGAGAGTCTTGATATAATACAAGGTGAGATGAAAAAACTGCAACCAACTTCAGACTGCTGTCATTTCTAAACCGCTCGTCCCACAGCTGTCAGATTTATTCTAGTGACAGCTCATTATATTGTTTACAAGCGCACAAAAGCATTTTGGTGGGAATTTTTCAAAAAAAAAGTTATTTGTGATGGAATTCAAGCGTGATAGTGTGATTGCTTTGCATTTGGCTGGAAAACCACAAGTGGCTATCGTTAGAGCCCTCCAGCATTTAGAAGTGAATAAATGTTTTGTGTCTCGTACCATCGCTCGTTACCATGATACTGGTAGCGTAGCCCGACGTCAAGGAAGTGGACGAAAAAAAACAGCAACATCGGCAGAAATGGTTCGAAAAGTGAAAAAGCGAATTGAACGAAATCCGCGTCGCAGTGGACGAAAAATGGCTCGTGAGCTGAACATATCGCAATATGCCATTCGGCAAATATTGAAAAATGAGCTTGGACTAAAGCCATTCAAGTTCCAAAAAGTGCAAGATCTTACTGATGCGCAAAAAAAAGTTAGACTCGAAAAAGCTAAAGAGTTGTTTCGCTTGGCCGAAAGTGGTGAACTGCCGAATTTGGTTTTCTCCGATGAGAAACCATTCGTTATCCAGCAGTTTGTAAACAAACAAAATGATCGTGTTTACTTGCCAGAGAGGTCAGCTGAAAATTTGCAACTTCGGTTGGCCATCACAACTCAAAAGCCGGCCATGGTGATGGTGTGGGCCGCCATAACAGCCGATGGTCGCTCGCCGCTCGTATTCATCGACCGTGGTGTCAAATTAAATGCGCAAATCTATCGCGAAAATATTTTGGAGGGAGTTCTGAAGCCCTGGGCACGCAAACATTTCGGCCGCAGACCTTGGACATTCCAACAGGACTCAGCACCATCGCACTCAGCACGCGCCATCCAAGAATGGTTAAGAAATGAGGTTCCTCGCTTCATTTCCACCGCACAATGGCCACCAAAATCTCCGGATGCCAATCCGTTGGACTATTGTGCCTGGGGTATTTTGGAAAGCAAGGTTGGAACTAAAAAATACCAAAGTGTCGATCATCTCAAGCAAGCGCTTCGCCGAGAATGGGACAAAATACCGCAGAGCCACTTTCGGGGGCAGCGTGTGATGGTTTCATTGGCCGTTTGAAGGCCATAGTTCGTGCCAAAGGTGGCCAATACGAACAAATCTAAACCGATTCTCAAATTTGATGTTATTTCCGACATTTTTTGCTTTCATTCAATAAAATTTAAAAAAAATGAAAAAATTATGGCGTTTTACTTTGTTGCAGTTTTTTCATCTCACCTTGTAGAGCATTTTGAATATAAAAATGGTCAATGCTTCGATCATTAAATCTGTGGGTAACACTCTCACACATATTCTCTTTCATAGTATGAAAATGAACAATTTATGATTAAATTTGTTTTTGTATATAATTACAAAACATAGAAGAGTTTAAATATCTGTTGTTTTTAAGTAGAATATCGCATCAGTCATTAGAGCTCATTTTCCGAAGCAAGCTTATTCACACTGCTCACTACGTGTGTTAATTTTCAGTAACTGAACAACTCATTTTGTTGTTGTACTATTGTTTGTTGTGTTCGAACTCTTTTTCGACCCTCTTACACAAAAAGATTAGAGAAATCCTCTTATGTTTGCACCCAAAACAATATACATATATAAATCGAAAAGGGAAGGATAAAATGACTTGCTTTCCTCTTTTTCAGCATGGTTAGTTTACTTAAAAAGTGGTGAAATGCGTGTAAAGAAGAAAATATAATTCTCATCGACTTTCTAGTTGCGTTTGTTTAAAACTGCGATGAAAAGTGTCTGCAGTTACTCTGGTTTCTCTTCAGTTGTCGAATAAATCTTTCGCCTTTTACTAAAGATTTCCGTGGAGAGGAGCAATTTAATGAGTCTAAATAAATTTTTTGTGGTGCCTGATTGAAAGATCGGGCCATATTTAATACATTCAAATATCGTTTGTTTAGTTTTTAAAAGTGAAGTAGGGTATAATATGTTATTTTTTAGTGAAAGTATTATTGTTTATATTATACAAAAGTTAATATCTTTATTCCATGAATTGAGAATGTAAAAAATATTTGATTCCAAGTATTCACACTTGTCAATGTTTACTGGATTTAGCAACCATCATTATTATTGAGCAAGTAAACCGAAGCCTCTTATCCTTTTAAAAATTTTTGTTTTTCTGGTTTATGCTCTTTTGCATTATAGCAGCATTATTGCAGACATATTTTTCAACATATTCCAGGAATTGATTTGTCTCTCATTATTCACATGTTGCACTAAAATTTCTTATTGCAGGAGCTCTGCGAGAAAAATGCGGTGTAAATATATACTTAAGACTTCTTCCATAAGAAAACTGATGGTAGTTATGTACAAAGCATATTAAATTGATTAGACTGAAAATTGTTTTATAAAGAGCATATAAGATTGGCTGGATAGGAATCTAGAAATTTAAAGATTGGATGGATGAGCTGAATTTTCCATGGTTGAGTTAAGTTAAAATCAGGAGTCGTAGCTCTTAGAGAAAAAGAAAGTAGGAATGGGTACATTAATTAGATTTCTTCATTAAGTAGCCTGATGAAAATTGAGTAAAGTGCATATTAGATTGATTGAATCTTTCAGAGTTGTATCAATCTTAGTTAATGTGAAATCACTGGAGGCTTAAATTTTGTCTCATATTATTTTTAATGATTCACTTTTTTTTTGAAATCGTTTAATATGATTGGAAAAAATTTGTAAATGTAACGTATAAAATGTTAACTATAAATCACAACTAAGGAAGATTTAGATATTTATATGGGAGAAAATACACTTAAGGAAAATTATGAAATATGAAATTATGAAAATAAAAATATGAAATGTCAACAAAAATTGATAAACACATAAAAGTATGAACCAGAATTGAAGTTTAAAAATTTGTTTATTTCAAGTATTTTGTTATCAATTTTCTTGCAGTTCTTGAGAAACTCCAAATTGCTTGAAATACTTTTTTAAATGAAAATATGAAAGCATTAAGGAAAATGAGGAAAATACGTAAAAAACTGAAATAAAATATAAAAGCACAAATAAAATGTTTCTGATATTTTTGACAACTTTTGTTAATGTTTTTGCATGTTTGGCATAAGACGCACGTCAGAGGGAGCGCCAGCAACATTAACGGCACCGGAAATGAAATGAAACACGTTAAAAAGCATAAGAAACCAAGAAATTATCCAAAAAAAAAACAAAATGGAGAAATATTTTTATGATGATGTTGACGAGCTTTGAATGTTAAGGAAATCACCACGTTTGCTCCTTTCACTGCAGCACCACAAACTAACAGCATCCCGTGCGGTGCCTACTCAGGAGGAAAACTCTTCGCTGCCACACCATTGAAGCAGTACGAATGAAGGCAGTTAGCATTTTTGCTGAGCAATAGCAGAAATTAAAAAAATGAAGTAAAAATATTACTTAAGAAGTAGAAATGAAGAAAAATATCAGTTGATGTAAAAATATTTTCTACTTGGCAGCATTTGGCTGCCGCACAGATTTCCGGCAAAACTGCGACTCTTTTCCTTCAACAGTTTGGAATTTGATATTGAAGCATTTTTCGCGTTAAATGGATTCATGGGAATAAGCGATTCGGCTTAAACGCCTTCGAGTTTGCTGAGTTGGGCCTGGGTTGTGTGGAAATTTTGATGTTGCAGGCGTTAGAAACTTTTTTATGACACCCAACGGGCAAAATGCGCCAACAAAACAATAAAAATGTAAGACATTAAATCTTGTGATTTCTTTTTTTTGTAGATACACTTCTTTCAGATACAAGACGAAGACATTCAAATCAGCAGAGCACCAACAACAACAACAGCAACGGTAACGACAAAAATGTAATAAAAATTAAGCAGTAAAGAAATTTGCCTACAAGGCATTTTCTCTCATTTAAGCAATTTTTAACAAAATTTTACTCGAGCGTATATTCTTCCTGCAAAAAGTTCAGTTCGGTTCAGTTTTGAAAGAAAAGTGTAGACATTTGAAATTTATTTTCTTGTATCATTAAAACTTTTAACAAAAAAAAAGCCTAAATTATAAATCTGATAATGTTAGAGCCAAAACCAACACGTAATTTATGCAACAGCCAAAATAAAAAGCCTAAGAGGAAGAATATACGATAGCATTTAAAGCGTTCTTATACAAAAGTTCTAAAATATTCTTAACATAAATCTTCTACTAATTCACACTACTCTTTTTTATATACGAGTAGTATTCCAACATAATAACACTCATCTATATATACCAGATCACCAGGGATTCCATAGTAGCAAACCAGCAAAAGTGCGAAGCATGGTACTTTCACTTCTTTTATAAGCGACCATATCCAAAGGATATGGACTTGTCAGATCGCAACAGTACTTAAAAATAACGTATAAAAATTGTTGGCGAAGTAATGCGCTGATGCCAGAGACATAAAGAAATCTAGAAAGCTCATTCGGGTCAACAATAAAAGTGTTGGTTTTTTAATTACACACACATCATATAAATATGAAAAAGCTCCGTAGTTGGGTACATTCACTCAGTTTCTAAAAACGTTTTTAAAGCATATTTTCTTGTCAGACTACTATCGCTGCTTAGAAATATCGAATGATTATTGTTTGGCTAATGCCAAATACCCAAAGCAAATGCTAAAATGCTCTTTCGGGTCAATAATGTTGCGTGTTCTCTGAGTCTAAACAGATCTAAACTCAAGAATTTACCATTGCTGTTTTACTAATATACACATTTTAAAGATAATGCAAATAGATAGTGTTTCTAAAAGATATTTACTTCACAAACTGCTTCAGTACTTATAGGTTTCTACATACAAATTTGAAAACATGACAGAAGCTTTCGCAAGAATCTTAGAGAAAGATATATTGCCATACATATCATATTCTTTTAGAATATTTTCACCTTCTGATGAATAAGTATTGCAATCTCTACAAAAGACCAAAAAAATCCATGAACATGAAATCATGATACTGCCAACAATATGTTATGGCAAAAGGTGGTACTAAAGTAGACAAAATGAAATTCTCTTCAATATTTAATCACTATACGAACATTGTTCTTTATTTGCAGTGAAATGGAAAATGGATAGTCATGAGCCGATTCCAAGAGTCTAAAATAATCCCAAGGGTACCATCATTGAGGTCACTAACAAAAATATTGCCAAGTAGCTACGCTTAAACACATCTGGGCTCAAGATTCACCATTGGTTTCTTGGCTATATTTGCAACTTAAAAAATATGGTTATATACTCTGACACTTATAAATTCATTGAAGTGAGAATCTATATTACTATTATTGTTATAATTATTTGTTATTAATGTATTATTATTATTATATTCCAGCGAATGCAATGTAAAAAGTTTCAGCATCTATTCTATTACAGTCCGGATATATTGTCACATATTTTCTAAAAACTATTTATCATTCAAGAGCTGCTATTCTTTTAAGAACATAAAGGAAATATAAGATGTCGGAAGATTATATTCCATACTTCTGTATTAATCCTTGGTTTTAACCTTAATCTGTATACCATGTCAATAGAGCAACAATTGACATTTAACATTTTTTTGAGCTACGTATTTTCCTAGTTTCAGTATCTTACAGATTTTTTATTTTTTGTTTTTCCAATAGTTGGAAGCATCGAAAGCCACAGTGTGCGACTAAGAACACTTCTTACGAATAAATACAGAATATTACCACATCAATATGGAGATGCGTGTGTGAGGCTTAATACCTAACGGACTAGATTTATCTAAGCCAGAAAGCATGGGCAGAATGCAGGTAGATTGGATGTAGTGGATCAATCCAATCTATATAGAAACGTATATAAAACTTATTTCGGTCAAAAATAATTTGAAAGTAATTAAGATATTTAATTCACATTTTTTAAAAATGAAAATCCAGATATCATGAAACTCTATTTGCCATAGTTTAGTATAATTTTATTAAGTTAAGCCCAAATTTAATTTTATCTTATGTCTTATGCAAAGAAAAATTTTCTTAACTTATTAACAAACTAAATTAAACTCTGAAGATATTATATTTACTTAAATTTGAAATTAAAGCTAGTCAATTTCCGTTCTTTCTTTATACAAATATAGATGTTACTATACTTAGTTCACTTTTACTTTCCAATCCCATTAATTCTGGGTAAGCAATTTAAATTAAATTTAGAGCAAAATGAGACTAATCCTTTTCCTGTCATTTTGCTTTAGGCAAGATATCGAATGCTTAACAATGGCCACATTAAATGCTATTAATAAAATTGCAGTCATGGCAGAGTATGCATTAAAAATGCATGTCCTTAACGACAACCATTGTTATCCTTTCAAAGCTCCTCTGCCAATAATACAAAATTGCAGAAGTATCACGTAGCAAAAGCTGTTGCAGCTGTAACTGCATCAGGTGTGAGTAGCTTAAACGCTCGTTACTTATCGGACAGGAGAACGATTTTTCTTACAGCTTCCAGCAAATGAAAGAAAACATATACCGTCATCTGTAGAGTTTTCTATACACTGCAAAAATAAAAAATAGTACGGATACTAGAATAACAAAAATTTTAAAAATATCAAACATTGATAAAAAAAAAATAGGAAATAAAAAAATTAGAAATTTAGTAAACACAGAGTATCTTTGAGATACAGTTGCTTTGCTTGTACTTGCTGTACACTTCGAAGTATGTTAAATTGCTGTCCGAGGCACGTAGCTGATGTTGCAACAAATGCAGTGGGTAATGACGTGACAGCAGCTGTTCGCCGGAAAGTCACGTTTTTTCATTTTTACTTTGCAACGCTGCAGAGTGGAGGACAAAATTCTTAACACTACTGACACACTTTTCTATTATCCTTGTACAAGGATCTTTACACTGGTATGCTTAACTGTTGCTGCTGTTGTTGCTCTCGTTGCT